AAGAGAGAAGCTTCCCTGTTTTTAACAGGGCCAATATCAAGTCCTAAAGATTTTGACATGAGGTGGGCAGGCTGAAGGGAAAATACCTCGGTTACCAATAATGGAGCAAGTTGACAGACAGAACAAAAGGAAGGATGATTTGGGGAAATTAAAAAAAATGTATGCAGACAACAACTTTTGATCATGTGTGTATTCTGACCTATTACTGTTTTTACTATTTATATAGTAAATTTACAGGGAAATTACATTTGCACAGGAAAACTGAAAACAACCTAAAAGATAAAACATTAAATAATAACAATAATTAATCATAATAAAAAAGACTGCATTCAATGAATTAGGAATTGGAAGGGAAGTTTGAAAATTAAAATTATACCTAGAAGGGAAGTCTCCTTCGCAAATGCTGCAGCAATAGCTGGGTCCAATGCTGGTTGTCCATCCCCAGATGGAAGATCAGGTCGAGTGTAGTCCCTACTTTTATCATTGTTGTACTTCACATTTAAATTCACCAATTTGGAAAAATCAATCCGTAGGGTACAGCAAGCATTATAAATATTTTGTCCATCTAATGCCTGAAAGAGGAAAAATGTATTTAATAATATACACTATAGCTTGGTCACAACAGCTGAAGTCTGATAAACATGAGCATCCATTTGTGGTTATAACTAAAATTATTTAGTTTAAAACCCAATAAAGCTCAAAGTTCAAAGTGGAAGCTTTTTCATTTCCTTACGTAGCAAATTTTGCATAGCCAAATGCCTGGAAATTTATGGAAGCCTTTTAGTGCAGCAAAACTGGGGACCTAGTTTATCAGATCTAATACAGTCATCTTCCAAATAACCACTTTTTAGTACAGTACAACCAGTATGTCACGTGAGTATCCGGATAACACTCGGTTATCCAGCATCTGTCACAGATGGCAATATAATTCCTCCTTCAGTGAATAGGAACAATTCCAATAGTCATCCAGCATCATTTTTTGACACATTTTTAGAGCTTGCAGAAGTCAAGTTTGTAAACTTGTGGCAGTAAAGTTTCTTTGTATTGTATTTCTGTATATACATACCATTATCGGATATTCTCTAACTCTGTGGTCTCCAACCAGTTCTGAAGCAGTAGCCACTAAAGTGAGCTAGCCACGCTCAACTGGCCAAATAGCCACATGTGGCTAGTGTGTTAGACACCACGGATTTAACCCAACCTGCAACTATGGCTAGTGTACATTGAAAAATTCATGAACCACGAAGTAAGGCTCAAGTAACCAGCATACCTGATTAACTGGCAACCCAAATTTCCCATGAATGCTAAATAACAAGGCTTGTACTGTATATGGTATTTGATATATTTTACATTATTTCAATGAGTTTCACTATACCTGGTATTTAACTCAGGTACTGCAAAGTTTTCAAAAGTTAAAACCACAGTGAAGCATTATTTTAAAAGGGGCACTAGAGAGAGAAGATTAAACAGAAGTAATTAAAATGATATGTAATAAATGTAAAGCTCCATATACTAAAGAACGGTTACTTATCTCGTAACTGTGATTCTTCGAGATGTGTTGCTCATGTTCATTCCAATATAGGTGTTTGCGCGCAGCGTGCATGCACCATCAGAAGTTTTTCCTTCAGCAGTAGCCTTAAGGAGACCTTCTGTCCCAGCAAGTCAGACTTTTTGGCCTCCCTGTTCTTAGGGGTGGCAGCAGGCTCCCTTTGTCTCTCCGTTTGATTGATGGCTTGCACCCCAACGAGCCTGGGGGAAGGTGAGAGAAGAAGTGTCTGTTACCCTTGGGTGACAAAGTACCTCCTTTCCGCATGCTTATCCATTGGAGGAATGGAGGCGGGGATTTGCCACAAGGCTTTGGAGATTTTGGCGACTGTTTTGTTGACCAGTAGAGCCACTCTAGAGGGGGTGTCGGAATGCAGAATATCAACAGTAGGATCCAAGTTGTCGGAAACTTTCTCTGCTTGAACCCCCAAGCTTTGGGCCAGGTGGCGGCAAAGGTCCTGATGGACTCTTGCGTACATGGAGGGCATAGACGGGGTGGAGTTGGCTAACGCCTCATCCGTGGAGGAGGACAATGACCCCTTTTGGACCTCACCAACAGGGGCATCCTCGAGACCTGGATCATCCAAGGTGTCCATGGACGAAGAGGGGGGAGGTTGGTTCACTAGAGCCGTGCTCCCCCCTGGACCTGGGGACGACTGGCCCGGAGATAGAGAACGTCCCGAGGTGGGGGACCTGACAAGAGGTGTCGCCGACAGAGGAACTCGCGGCCCTGAAGAGACAGAAGCCAGTCTGGGGGGGGTCTGCACCCTGGTTCTGGTGATAAGCCCAGGGAGTCCAGAAGGGCCATTGCCCCGGAGGCTGAGGTGGCCATGTTTGCACCATGGGCACCAGAACCGGCTGAGCCCACTGTTGCTGGTACCGGAGCAGAGGTCTACGGTACTGGGAACCGTGCTGAGAGCGGGAGCGGCACCACGAGCAAGACCTGGAGGCCCTCGAGGACTGAACAGATTCTTCCTCGGAGTTGTACTAATACTCCAAGGTGGACCAGGGTGGTGCCGACGTGGATGCCAAAGGAGTTGTGGTGAGCCAAGACATGGACTCTGTCGAGGAGGCATGGCTGTGCGGGGGTCCTGCATGGAGCTCATGGGCTCTAGGGCGGTGACGGCGCTGGGTGATGTTGCCGTACCGCGTCCGGTGCCGTGTCTTTGGATGGTACCGGGGGTGTTGGTGTCTCAATGTCTGGTGCCACGTGTGGTACCATCGGAGCCAGGCAACGTCTGCCCTTATGCACCATGTCTTCATCGCCCCAGGCGGCAATTGGTGCTGAGTGTCCTCGTGTCACCTAGAGGATGCTAGAATCGGAGTGGAGGGGCTGGGCGGCTCTGGGAAGTCCTCCAGAGGGCTGATGTCCCCTCGCTGGGAGGCAGGCCCACTCGACCTAGAAGGCTTGGGCTCGTCAGTGCCACATGTCCCACTGGAGGGCGCACGCCTAGGTGGGGACCGACCTGTTAGGCCGCCTTTTCTTCTGAGGTGCCGGCAATTGAGAGCGGTGCCGGGGCCCCTGCAGTGATGGAGAGGCACGGTGCGTGGAACCGTCATGCACTGAGGCTGGTGTCCTCTGGGATGCCGGAGCCAGTCAGAGAGCCGCTTCCATGAGGAGGATCTTAAGACGCAACTCCCTCTCGCGTTTCGTCCTGGGCTTGAAGGCCTTACAGATTTTACAGGCTTCCGTAAGGTGTGCTTCTCCCAGACACTTTAAGCACGATGAGTGTGGGTCACCGCACAGCATAGGCCTACTGCACTTTTTGCAGGGCTTAAAGACTTGTGGGCCGGGCATGCCCTGCTGCGGGCTCATGGCATGCCACGGCGGGGAGCAATCAACAGAAAACAACAAAAAATTGCAGACACTTAGCTGAAGATTAACTAAAGACTGAAGAAGAACTATGAAGACAATGATCACGTTGAGGAACTGAGGGTTGTTCCAATGAGCGTCACGGCGGTAAGAAGGAACTGAGTGGGGGAGGGGGCCAGCAGGCAGTAAGAAGGAACTGAGTGGGGGAGATATACCGGTGTCATTCCAGGGGGCTCCCTGCTGGCCCTAAGGGTACTGCTGAGAGAAAAACTTCTGATGGTGCGTGCACGCTCCGCGCACACACCTATATTGGAATGCACATGAGCAATCACTTGAAGAAAAAGTGGTTATGTGGAGGATCACAGTATTTGCTGTGTTCTAGTAGGATGTTTTTTATTCTGTTGTTCAACAAAAGCATCAACACCACTTAAATGATAAACAAAAAAAGGAGATCTGCTACCCCCTTTTAAGACAATGCTTTTTAAAAAAGTATTTATGGTTACTAGGATTGTTAAGTAGCGATTATTTACTAATCGAGTAGTCGATGGAATTTCCATCAACTATTCAATAAGCACTTCCGCGTTCTGCCTTTGAAATGTACAAGAGCCCCAGCGGGGGCTCTTCAGCATTTCAAAGTGGAAGCACCCATGTGGAGTCCTGAGTCAATGGCACTTCCCGCTGGCCCTGGACTCCACACGGCTTACCAACTTTGACATGCAAAAGAGTCCCACTAGGGACTCTTCTGCATTTCAAAGCTGGCATGCCGCACCGAGCCTGGGGTCAGCTGGGCACTCCCCCGCTGGCTGTAGGCTCAGTGCAGCACTGCCACTTTGAAATACCAGGTGGAGCTCGTGATCAGCTAGGGACTCTATCTAATAGAGGGACTCTATCTTAAAGGGGGAGCGACTAGCAGATTATCCTGTTGATAGTTTGTTTTTGCTTATCAGATAGTTGACTATTCTTTTACATCTCTAATGGTTACTGTGATTTAAGATATGATGTAGTGGCATTCCACTTAGGTATGTTCATGCTCACTGCACCAGAGCTAGAAAATTTTGCCTAGTAATTCCTGCAGAGGGGTAGTGCTTGCACCTTGTGGCCATATTCCCTACTCCATCTATCTGAGGCATTGCCAACTGAATCCCTCCTCAGTTTCTTCATACAGAATGCCTAGACACTAGACTACAATGTACAGGGGATGGTTCTCAGAATACACATCTGCATCACATTTTTAACCCCCTCTTCAAGTACAGGAAGAGATATTCACTATACAGGCAGTCCCCGGGTTACATGGATCTGACTTACATCGGATCCCTACTTACAAATGGGGTGAGGCAAGCCCACACTAGCTGCTTCCCCCCAGCAGACCAGGGAGACGCAAAGCTAGCGCCCACCCCCAGCAGACCAGGGAGATGCGGAGCGGCTTTTCTCAGCAGACACCTCAGCTTGAGAATAAAGGACTGAGGGAAGTGAGGTGTGGGAGAATAAAACTGAGCTCTGGAGAAATGTTTGGCTAGAGTTTCCCCTACAATATGTACCAGTTCCGACGTACATACAAATTCAACTTAAGAACAAACCTACAGTCCCTATCTTGATCACAAACAGTACCCAAAAGTGAATGTCAGATGTGTGTTTTCAGGCCAATTTACTTTCTATTAGACTATATCAATGTAATTGTTGACTATATAGCGTGGATTCAGATGTTTAACTTTCATGAAAACTAGTGCAATGTTACTTGCATTGTTTTCACTGATCTATTTCTTTCATAATGTAACAAACATTTATATGGTAAATACTGTTGCAACTAAATTACCCATCAAAGAAATCTTGTGAAATGATAAATGAAAGACTTAAGAGCTTTAACAGAAAATGCTAATTTCAAGCAAGTGGTCATTATGAATATCTGATTCCTTCAATTTGTGGAGTTTGTCCCCCTAGGATGCACAGAGTAATGTTTGGGGGAAGGAGAGCTGCAGCTGGAGTCCAGACCAGCTCCACTCTTGGCCCTGGCCCCAGCCCTGGCTTCTGGCCATATACCCAGGGATATGCTCTCAGCTGCAGCTGCCAGCCTCACACTTGGGGTCCCAGCTGCCCACACCACACCCAGGATCCCAACTACTCCCTTAAACTGCAGCAGCTATGACCCCAGCTTTGACCCCCTTACGCCTGTACAGGTCCCACCTCCTAGAGGTGTGGCCCCTCTCCTGGCTCTGT